ATTCCAAGTTACCTAATTGTACTCCCTTCCATATGACAACATTTGAAATAAGAGTGGCTGCCTTTGCCTATTTGCCCTGAAAACCCTTATAAAGGTACCTCTTGGTCACATTAACCTGATTATTCTGGCAACACTAGCTGGTATTATGATATAACAATTACTTCACTAGATTGTTACTATGAGATTATAGCATAAGCTGCTTAAAATTTCCAGGTTTAAAGAAAAATCACACATCTTTCTTAGGCAAGTGTTCTCAGATGTGCAAGAAAGACCAAATTTGTATGTACTCTATTTAAGAATTATGTGCTGTCAAAACGATTTCTGAACCCGTTAGAAAACAGAAATAAATTAAAGGAGGTAAAATTTTAAGTCAAATTGCCCAGAACTGTACTGTCCAATATGGTAGCCACCAGCCACATACGGTTATTTACATTTAAATTAACTAAAATTAACCATCCAGTTTTTAGGTCACAGCAGCCCTGTTTCTAGTGCTCAGTGGCCACATGTAGCTAGTGGCTACTGCACTGACCAGCACAGATAAAGGACATTCCCGTCACTGCAGAACGTTCTCCCAGCAGCACAGGCTAGAGGTCTGTATGTACATGGCAGCAGCACCTATTAAAAAACCCTTAAAGTTTCAGCTTTCTATAGATGAGAGACAAAGGGCTGGTGTGGACACACAGCTTTTGGAAAGCATGTACAATTGGAGGATATAGTGTCTTCTATATAATTATACACTTTTATCTATAAGAGTAGGGTGGCTTACAGTGGCAGGCCTTTAATCCTACAGGTTTTGAGTTGAGGTCTGAATACTGGAGAAAATAAATGATCACCCTGAGCTCAATTCTCTGTACTCTGCAACATTCTGAATAGGTCTAACTTTAATAATGAGTATGGATCCCAGCTTAAGTTTGGAATAATAAAGAGTGTGTGGTTCTGATAAAGCTTCAACCATCCTGCACTGGGCTATGTAATTTACCTCATTCTAAGACATCATTTCTGCTCCCTACCTTTCTCTTAGGAGATCAGATCTTAGCTGCACATTACTCTGAGGTAGATGGAGGTTAAAAAAAAAAAAAGATGAATACCAGGTTTTAATAATCACTAAACAGACGTGCTTTTATCATAAATTTGAATCAAGAAACTGCTAATTTCATCCTAATATGATCAGAGAATTTGTGTAGGAGTGTTCTGCAGAGGCAAAGCAACGTCCGCTGGGAGGCCAGTTGACACCCAAAGAGAAACTCATCGAATAAGTAGCAGCTGCTGGTCCTCACACACTCATTTTATCAGCGTGCCAACAGCTGATTGGGCTTTGGGCTGCTGAGTCACTCTAACCAAACTTATGAGCCTGATCAAAATTTGCTATCTCCTCATTTATAATGGGGGATAGATCTTTCCAGGGACAAGACTATGAATGTCAAGGAGGTTGCATGGCAGAGGAAGTGTAAGAACAAAAAAAGATGAGCCTGTTTTGTGGATTTCAACTAATCTCCGGGAGAGTCACATGAAATATCCCTGCCTCATAAATCACTTGATCTCGTAAAGTACCAGAATAATCTCTTTGGCCTGTTGGTGGCCTTCTCCTTTGGATGGTACCAGATTAAGAAAGAGTTCTACCTGTTCTTTATTTGCCTTTTTCTAGGCTCTTAGCAGATCTTATCCTTGAAACATTCTTCTTTCAATAATGATGTTAACAACTGGCAAGATTACAGCTTCATGCTCATCCCTATCGGTTCAATCAATCAGATTACAGTTTTTGGCATTAATGCCACAGACCAGGTTATAATTTTAGCAGGCACCCCTATAACTGATTATATTCTCCCCTAACCATCTAGGTGCAGATTACCAGTTAGCATCTGCTACTTCTAAAGATGGCTGATTCCATTACATTGCATCATTTCATTTCTCTCCAACCTTCCTGTCATCTCCTAGAGACTGGGCATAGAAATAATCTTAAGAGTATGAGCTGGGCACAGTGACCGACACCTGTAATCCCAGCACTTTGGGAGGCCGAGGCAGGCAGATCACTTGAGGTCAGGAGTTCGAAACCAGCCTGGCCCACATGGTGAAACCCGTCTCTACTAAAAATACAAAACAGCAGGGCGTGGTGGCGCGTGCCTGTAATCCCAGCTACTTGGGAGGCTGAGGCAGGAGAACTGCTTCAACCCAGGAGGTGGAGGTTGCAGTGAGCCGAGGTTGCACCACTGCACTCCAGCCTGGCCAACACAGCAAGACTCCGTCTCAAAACAAACAAAAACAGTATGGAAACTAGTGGTTTTCAAACTTTATTTTTAAAAGTAACAGAACTCTTTCTTTCTTACTGTAAAAAAATACTCTGTATATAAGAGATAAAGGATTTGTTGAAGCAGGGACTCCCAGTCTGGTGAGGTGGCTCACATCTGTAATCCCAGCACTTTGGGAGGCCAAGGCAGGTGGATTCCTTGAGCCCAGGAGTTCAAGACCAGCCTGGGCAATATGGTGAAACCCCATCTCTACCAAAAATACAAAGGTTAGCTGGGTGTGATAGCTCACATCTGTGGTCCAGTTACTCAGGAGGCTGACATGGGAGCATTACCTGAGCCTGGGAGGTTGAGGCTGCAGTGAGGCATGACGGGGCCACTGCACTCCAGCCTGGTCGACAGAGTGAGACTCTGTCAATCAATCACTCAGTCAATCAACCAACCAATCAATCAATAAGCAGGGACTCCCTCACCACACACCCACCTCTCTGTGGCTATCCAATCTACTGTGTGACAGCCTGAAAAACCATCTTCTTGTTTTTTTTTTGAGATGAAGTTTCGCTTTTGTTGCCCAGGTTGGAGTGCAATGATCTCGGCTCACCGCAACCTCCGCCTTCCGGGTTCAAGCGATTCCGCCTTAGCCTCCCAAGTAACTGGGATTCAGGCGCCCGCTACCAGGCCCGACTAATTTTTTTGAATTTTTAGTAGAGACGGAGTTTCACCATGTTGGCCAGGGTGATCTCGAGCTCCTGACCTCAGGTGATCCACCGGCCTCGGCCTCCCAAAGTGCTGGGATCACAGGCCTGAGCCACCGCGCCCAGCCGAAAAACCACCATCTCAGACCGTCCTAGAGCTGGCAGAGCGGGCCCATCATACTCCATTAAACACTGGCAAGAAACGCCTGTCCAAATCAAATAACTTATTGAAAACATGTTGAGATTACTTGTGTACTTGATAAAAGGAATCTACTACCAGTATAAATGCATTCAGATTAGTTGTGTACAGTCGAATTTTTATTTATAGGAAATATTTAGATTTTTCTTCAGATATGTGAGACACCCCAAGAGAATATCGTAAGTATAAACTGGGTTTGGGGAAGAATAACATGGCAGTCGGGTCAGTATCTAAAGCTGTATCTAAAGCTCTTGTTCCTAATTCCGATAGCATGTCTGTAATTGGGCCCCCAATTTCAAATTTAGTCCACTCTTCTTTTCTATACAACGAGAGGCTTTATGCTCCACTTGCTACATGACCCAAATCAATAATCCCGTGCAGCAGCTTGGGGAACCCGAGGTTTTCACCATGGGACCAAATAAACTCAGGATACTTCTGAGAACTTCAGTCCTGTGAAATAACTATTTCAGAGAAGGATCCTTGTGGAAAGACCGGAACATGAAGAGCATTCTGAGGTAACCCTTCCCAACTTTCTCCTCCACACATTCTTGCAGAGGAAATTAAGAGGGAGAAAAAAATTAAGAAATCCCAACTTAGTCGGGACTCTAGGAGTACATGTCAAGCATAGAACCCCTAATTTAAGACCCAGGTCCCGAGGCCAGGCTCCCTTGGGAAGGTAGCGAGTGCATCGCGACAAAATCCTACCTCCCGCCTTCGGAGTCAAACGGCCCCGCATCCAAACAGTTTAGAATCCAGCTTGTTCTTAATGCTACAGTCAAGAGAGGATCCATAACCCGCCTTGGTCATCTGCCCTTCTGTGTTCACAACCGTTCATAGCACAAGTTCTTCGGTCTAACCTAATCTTTCCCTGCTGCGGGGTTAAGCCCAACCTTTCTTTCTGACCTTGGGGAGCCGGCAGCTCCCCGCCCGGTGCCCTCACAAAAGCCTGAGGGGGCCCCCTCTCCAAGATGAGACGTTTCTCCCATCCCCCCACCCTCCTAAATTTAGGACAGGGAAGCTTTAGGGCCACTGTCTCTCTTCCGGGACCGATCACACTTCGTTCCAAATAGGAAACGATAGGGGGGTAAAAAGATGGAGGGGCGGGAGACCTGGACCCCGGAGAGTCACCTTCCAGCTACCCACAGGAACCAAGCATCCGATCACTCGCGCATCCCTCTCCCCTCCTCCCCCGGCCCGCAGTGGACCCCACAGGGAGCCCCGCCGGGTCCACACTTGCTCCGACCCCCATTTCGCGCGCCCCCTCGGCTCCATCTCCCAAATCCTCAGGCGACGAGTGGAAAGGGGGTCCCTTCCCTCTCACCTGGGACGGAGGCGCTCGCTCATGGCAGCTGGCGGAGGGAAGCTACGCGGCGCCGCTCCGCGAGAAGAGGGAACAGAGGGGGTTGTGTTTCGGCGGCCGCCACGCCCACCCCCTCGGGCCTTAGCTCTCGCAGCCGCTCGGGTGGACGCAGCCGGTGGCGAGTACCCCTCAGTCGGACCCGTACCACCGCTACTTCCGGCGTCTGCTCCGCGCCCCCCCATGTCGCTGCCGCCGTGGTACCGCCCTCTCGCGGCTGCGCAGTGGCACGATCCCAACCGCGCCGACCGGTAACCCCGCCCACGGGAAGAGGCGGGCTCGGAGGGGGAGGAGCGACTAGGAGCTTCTGGGAGAAAGGACCTCCCCTGGGGTGGCGGAAGCACTCGCCTGTTCACAGCCAACGGAGGGTACGGTATGAAAGTCAAACCAGGTTTCAAATAAACTCAATTATGTCATAATAATATCATACAAGTATTTGAGTTGAATCCGTGTGAGGTAACATTTTTAAAAATAGGCGGACCTATCCGGCAGTGGTGCAGACAGCCTGACGCGGTTTCCTGGCCGGGGGTTGGGCAGGCGCTTGGGGGGCTTCCCTCGGGGGCTTGTCGCCGGGGCTGCCTGGGCTTTCGGGTCTTCCGAGGTGAGGACGGTCCTTTGAGGTGAGCTTCCAGGGGCGGGGTTGTGTTCCGCGACCCACGTTCTAGGTCTGGGGAAGACTGTCCTGAGCGGAGAGGGGAGGGAATCGGGTGCCGGCGGAGGGTCTTCCTGGAACCGCAGGAGGAACCCCTCGGTGGGGCTGCGGGAACGCCGGTCCCTGACCCAGAATCTGCCAGGCCGACCCCATCCACTCCGCTGGCAGAATCAGAACAGTTTTCAGGGAAAGGAAGGGTGCGGGGAGGTGGGCAGGCTGGTAACGCGGCCGGAGGAGGGAAAGGTGGCTGGAGAGCGCCGGAGGTGAGGGTGAGGATTAGTGGAACTGTTGAGGTCCTGCTAGAGCCCAGAGGCTTGGGAGGTCTTAACTCTGCTTACCGGAACCTGTGTTTGTTTTTGATTCAGTACCGTGCCGCATTTACTCACTGCGCGTGCTGCCAAGTCACCTGTCTCATCGTGTCTTACACAGGCTGACATTCACGTTTCATTCTGCCACACTCGGGAACGGTGATCGGGGAAGAATGGGGATCCGGGAGAAGCACTCGCAAAACTAGCATCCTCCTGGAGGAGCTCGGGTAAGTAAACAGCCACATATAGACGTTACCCTGGGAATGTACCGAGATGTTTCAAGTAGGATTGAGTGTGAGGTGGAGTGGAGGCAGAAACGTCTAGCAGGTGTCAAGCCCTTTCTAACGTTATTAGCCGAAGGTCCATGGACTGGCTTCATTTGTGTGTATTTTTGTAAATAAACAGTCTGTGGCTTTCATCCTGTTGTTAGTGTGTACCTCCAAACAAAGTAAGACTGATGGCTCACGCCTGTAATCCCAGCAGGCCGCCTGTAATCCCAGCAGGCCGGGCGCGGTGGCTCACGCCTGTAATCCCAGCACTTTGGGAGACTGAGGCGGATCACCTGCGGTCAGGAGTTCGAGACCAGCCTGGCCAACATGGTGAAACCCCGTCTCTACTAAAAATACTAAAATTAGCCGGGCGTGGTGGCCCAGGCCCGTAATCCCAGTAATCCTAGCCACTGGGGAGGCTGAAGTTGCAGTGAGCCGAGATCGTGCCACTGCACTCCAGCTTGAGTGACAGAGCGAGACTCCATCTCAAAAAAAAAAAGACCGAACAACAACAAAGTAAGAATGATTACTGTAATCTGTTGGCAGAAAACAGTTTTGTTTTGAATGACTTCGTACAGGATAAGGTGAGTTGGTTGCTTTAATGAATGGGTTGGTCAAAATTGTGTCTGTTTTGTGAATGGTTTCAGTCACCTTTTTTAATCTCGTTGGTGGTCAGAGATATTACCAGTTGTAGTACTGAATAATATTTAATCGTTTATATCTGAAGAATTCAGTGAGCAAATATTGTATGCCAGGCTCAGTGCTAGGTTTTTACATACAGCTGTGTGCAGGATAGGTAGGTTTCTTGCCCTCTGGAACTTTATAGAAAGAATAAGAGATGTAGAAAGGAAATAACTTTCAACTAAACATTGGAATTAAACATTTTCTTTTCTGGACTCTAAAGAGTAACAGGTACAAATATACATGGTATAAATGTTTTTTAAAATTTTTTACATGGTATATATTTAACAAAGATGTCAAACTAATTTGCCAGTAATCTGTTGTACTAGAAACTATTAGTAGGCCAGGCGTGGTGGCTCACACCTGTAATCCCAGTACTTTGGGAGGCCAGGGCGGGTGGATCACAAAGTCAGGACATCAAGACCATCCTGGCCAACATGGTGAAACCCCGTCTCTACTAAAAATACAAAAATTAGCTGGGCGTAGTGGTGTGTGCCTATAGTCCCAGCTACTCGGGAGGCTGAGGCAGGACAATCACTTGAACCCGGGAAATGGAGGTTTCAGTAAGCCAACACTGCACTCCAGCCTGGTGACAGAGTGAGACTCCGTCTCAAAAAAAAAAAAAAAAAA